GAAAGGACATTTTATTTCGTGGATACTGATGCAGTCACCAAAGGTTTTGAAACACTGAAGTTTTAATTAAAAATAGATTTTATGAAATATTTTATAAACATGGAACTACTACATTGAGGTTGTGCGAAGAGAGAGAAAATACAAATCAGAAGTAGAGTCAGTCAAAGAGAAACGCTCACCAAAGGTCCTCACATGAACATCAGAAGACATTTTCACAAACATTCGATTGTAGAAATAAAAGCATAAACACAAAATAGATAAAGTATTAGCTCTGAGTTTTGCTGACATACGAGTCTTTATAACAGCCAAGGAATACATTTTAAGAACTCACGTGAACATTTAAATGAGTATACAATTACTGCATTAAAATTAACACATTTTATCATTTGAAGTTTGTATACCCACTTTATAAAAGGTTAGTCAGAAAGATCTGTTATTTTCCTTGAACCTATCTACGTGACTTTACCGAAAGATCCAAAGAATATAAAAATACCACGGCCTTGGAAAACTGTGAAAATGGGTGGATTTTTTTTGTTACACGTGAATAATTAAATCCATATACATTTTAATTGCATGTTCACATGTGGCCTCGCGTTTATAACTTCCAATATTTATGACAAAGAATTCGTGGGAATTATCATAACATCACCTTATCACAATAGCATAAAGGCCCACAATAATTACAGCGGCATAAGTATATAAAGACAGCTTTTAACCACTCACTTCTCTGCGTATGATTAATGGGGTGGCGAGGTGGTTAATATTACATATAACCGGCATCGTTCTCGCCCTCCATTTCCTCTCCCGGCCGTGCTTTTTGAAAGGGCAACGCTGTACCCCCAGCCAAGCGGCAAGGTTAATTACAATGTGCCAGAAAGATGGGGGTGCTTCGAGTTGGGTGTTGCTGGTAGGGTCTGAAATTGATCGGGGTAATGGAATGTGCAGTTCAAACCCCGACGTGTCCACTGCAGCAATGAGACATTTTATGGGACTGGTCTCTGCTTTTTATCCACGCTTATATAATCTTCCTCTTCCTCTCCTTCCTGCGGTGAATTTTGTAATTTGTTTTTGTATAACGTTAAATGTCTGGCTCCTGAGTCTTTTGTCATATCTTGGGAGTGGCTGCTGCGCTTACGGAAAAAAATGATGGTTACAAATTCCAACTCTTTCTTAGGATTGATGGAATGATTGATCGGTCGGTTGATTGATATCCTTTCCGTTAACAAGGTGAGAGCCCATTGAGGCCGACGACGTTTTCTGCACGAGAGGCCTCAATTTCAACTCCCATGCCTTTGATTTTATTTTGGAGTTTTTTAGCTGAACTCTTTAGACGTTCAGGATTTTTTTTTACATGGTTTACAGCTATACTTTTTTTTTTCAAAAGAAAACAGAATCCAAACGAGAGAGCGGGGATGGCCACGGGATTGTGATAGCACAACCCAGGCAGCGAGGTGACACACTGAGTGATGACATCACTCCTGTTAAGGATGTGGCAGAGAAGTGAATGCAGCCCGGTATGCGGGGAAGGGATGTGAAGACATTATAGAACCACTCAATGTGTGTGGACATCCATCACGTTAGCATCCACCCGTGTATTATTTTTTTTACGATGAACAAAGTAGGCATATTGCTGTGTAGGTATTTTCTCTTGTGCTGCATTGCTCTTCAACGTGTTTTTATTAGGGTTATGCCATGTGTCTTTTGGCATGTCCTCCGTTTCGCCGCATCTGCTGGCAGCTTCTTCAGGGAGAGCTATAAGTAGTCGTATCGTAAATACGATCTCAAGTAGATTGTGAGACACCAAGACGTTCTTCCATGTACACACAACAGCGACGCATACACTTTGATCAACGACTACACATATGACAATTGAAACACAGTAATGCAAATTCATCAGTTTGCTTCACTCAATTTTGTAAAACAAAATGCTTACAGTTCCCTTATGATATATAATGTGTACATCGCAATGAACATGATTCAATGTCTTAACAGCTACACAAAGCCAAAACAATGACTCAAAACATGAAATGGAGCACATGAAAAAACACGTGTTCGGTCATTAAGACGACTGCCACTCCCTTCAAGTACGATGACTTTCTGTTCGCCATTCACGGCAAGTGCTGAACTTGTACGTTCCTGCCGCCAGTTAACACAGAGGAGGGAACAACAACAGAAAAACACTGAGAATTCTTCAAATAGGGTAGCCAGAGCTTCAAGGCAACTATAGGAACTTGAAAGATAGGATTGTATGTCAGGGAAAGCACTCCAGCTTCGTGCGCAGAGAGATGCGAGGTGGGTCCGCTGCCGGCGAATTGTTCCCTGTGCCTGTGTCTTGGGTGCCCGTGCATGTGGCTTTAATGTGATAAAAGCCCAAGGCAACTATAATGGAATCTTGAATTGTGACTGATGTGAAAGCTCTTGTCGTGTAGTGAGCAAAAAAAAGTAATGAGAAACACGGTGGGTATTTTGTGGCAATCTGGCAAAAAAAAAAAACGCTTTTCATGCAGTTTGGTTCTTCACTGCTGTGCTAACAGTTGTGTTCTGATCAGTATCATTCACTGCTACTGCCTAATCTGTGTTGCCACAATAAGTGATATAAAAAAAAACTATTAACAAGAAATACGTTTAAATACATCTTTTTGGTTCTTTCGGGAAAGTCACGTAGAAGGGAAGTAGTAAAATAATAAAAATAAAACATAATAAAATAATGTGATAATATCATAAATAAATTAAAGTAATATATTAATATAACATAATAATATATTATTTTATTATTTTATTACTTCCCTTCTATGTGACTTTACCGAAAGAACCAAGAAGATGAATCCCTGCAGTCACGGAAGCTTTAAATCAAAATTTACGTTTAAATACAGTCTATCGTCTGTAATAATAATTGGCTGCGCTTTCGTGCTCCCATAGTTTCTGTCAAAGTGCATTTGAAGGTCGTTTCAGCTTCTTTTCGTGCACATACGAGGGGGGTCGCGAAAAGGGAGTTTGGTTGGTCAGGAAAATGTCTTGTCCTGAATTACAACACCGAGCAAAATGTGTGAAGATGCCAAATTCCTCAAATTCAGAATAGCCTTCTTCACAGCCAACGTAAACACCATATTTACAGCAGCAGCTGTTGCCCTTTGGGTTGAAAGTGGACAAAATTGAATGGCACAGGCAATATACCATTATGGATGATTTGTAGGTTGTGGAGGGTGTTGTTTTGTTACAATCACCAAACCCGCAGTAACGTGTGCGTTAAAAAACACACACACGCACAATTATAGAGAAAACAGTGGAGACGAACATGTGCTGGTAAATTATGTATTGATAACTTTAGGCCGTTTTCCAACTCGCATGTCACGTTTATTGGCTTTATTATCTGTGAAAATATCAACCGCAAAATGGAAAGTCCCAACACACGAGCCTGCCGGTAACGTGGTGAGTTTCCGCAGGGTTGAGACAGCCATCCATTTGTCCCACATTGCTCCTCCTCTATGCTAATTCTTTGAGTCAGACATTTAAACATTAATTTCCCAGCTGGAAGCTATTGACTTGTGTTTCACTGTGGAGGAAGGAATGTAGTGCTCCTTTGATCTTGGAAAATAACTTTAATGCAGCCAAAAGCAAAAACGTTCAAATGTACAGGGATTTAAATTATCACAGTTCACATTTTTTTTGGGAAAGATAAAAGGATCCTTCTTTGGCAGAAAAGTTGACAAATGTGATCACTTTATAAACAAAAATATGAAAACACAACTGTATTTAATTATCATTTTAAAGGATTATAAATAAAAATAATATTTCGAGTATACGTTCAAATATACAAAGTATATACTTGTATATATATTTTTAAGCATCAGGCAGACCTCGCCGAACGCGGGGGTTACGTTCATGGAAAATGCTGTTGGGCAAAAATAGGGTTGTGTTCCTGTCTCCAAAATGATCACACCCTCCTTCCTTAACTAATTCTACATGATTTCCACCCTCGTTATTGTAAACACTAAACAGAACTTTATGTTTTGCCAGATAAGGCCCATTGAGCTATTTAGCTTTTTTTGGAAGCGACCAGACCACAAATGATAGCTCAATGCAGTGGCTTATCATGTGGAAATTTATAGCAGCCAAATTACTCTAAGCAAATGGATTTAAATGTGCAGGAAAAAAAAACAGAAGACCCGGAGGAAAAATCCACACGACTATGAGGAAATACAAACTCCAAATATAGAGCAGGCGTCAGGGTCGGGATTGAACCCACAACCTCCTGAATACCAGGCAAGGGAGGAGACATCTCGCCACGTCACACCCCAGGATGCCGAGTCATTCTCCATATTTTGTGTGTGTGTACAGTACTATCCTTATTTTTAAATTTCACCTCAACACAAAACCCCCGTTTCCATTACTCGTCCGGCATCAGGGTACTCATGCCCAAAGCTCGCCCCAACACTGGCACTTGAACGTTCACGATGCGCTATCGAGGCGTCCGTATGACTAAAAATGTCCTCACGGAGTGTGCGGCCAGATGCATGCGGTACTGTGACATTTGTGTTGAGTGTTGTTACATTATCACACGAAAAACATGGAACGACATACACACACAAAAACACACTAAAACATACGTGTCATGTGTTGTGAAGTCATCCTCATTGCACAGCTTCGAATGTATCATTATCGCTAATTTAAATACTTCTGAAGACAATTGCATTTTTTTGGAATCATGCGTATGCGTGATTTTTCTTCCTTATTTCATTTTTATACTTTGAAAATGCAATTTGCATACAGGGTGTTTCGGACAGCACTACATAGTGTTCATGTCACTTAAGTCAACTGGACCTTAACATCTTCCATTGTTCACTATATCACAGTACAGCACTCTTTGTTTTTTTAGTCTCAGGCTGCCTAAGTAAACTGGATACATTGTGAAGACACCGATGCTTAAGCTGTGTAGAACGTTTTACGGAATGAATATGCCCTATGCATGACAACATAGACAAAAAAGCATGACTGCGATACATTGTACAAAAAAGTAATCTTTTATTGAACCGCCTAATAATACAAGGCAAGTTTACAAAATGAAAAGTAAAACTTTTCATGTGCAATGTACATAAAATAAAACCAGAACACAGCTTGTCATGACGTCCAAAAAACTGTACAGGTGTCTAGTGTAAACATTTTATATAATAACTACAGCTTCAAGTAACAAAACACACAAACCCTGACCCATGATGTACAGGTAACTGCCAAACTGTACTGAACACAGAAAATGCTCATTAAAACACACACAAAGCCGGCTTGCTAAAAAATATGCACCTCTTGAGGAAACACATTTACAACCATGGTCCAAACAACGGATGTAAAAATTTTCTCTAATGGCAGCCACTTTCAAATTTCATGTTGCCAAGATGCGAAAATTTTCGACAAAGCAAGCAGCGCATGTCCAGGCAAAGGTAAATTCACATATCGGTTTTGAAGCAAATTTCTGAGCAGCCTTTGATGGTCTTGACCACAGTACCTGTAGCACTGCAGTCATGGGCAAGGAAGTTATGCAGGTGTGCTACTGTACATTCAATGAGGCACAGCTTGAGGGAAATCTCACAAAACAGCGATAAAAGCACCATCAAAAACCCCCAATATCTTTCTTTCTACAGGTAGGCCTATTTTTTACGATTAGTTGCGCAAATGTGCAAACGTTTCATTTTTCTTTTCTAGTATGCATTGTGATACAAAGTGCATGAATGGACATCCTATGAGTAAACAAATGGGATCAGAGGAACGGGTAAATGATGACACGATCCAATCGCTTATAAATTACATTTTACACGCGTTTCGAACATCTCATGGTATTTGAATGCTTTACTGTCAAGCGTGCTCTTGCTTTGCAATGTAAAAGATCGGTTAATAAATTATAGTGACACTGGTGGAAGGTAAATGCGGGTTACAACTCGCGGGCACATGTGCATGATTAAATGGACAGTAGCGCAAGAGGATGTAACACCTTTAACAGCTCTACTAACATACCGCCATTGTAAAACAATACATTTTTAATAAAACTAATTTGAAGGAACACTGAGCATCTGTTTTTAATACAACATGGATTGTGAAGTATATGTAGTTTGTTGACAAAACAAAATGAGTTGTTGTTTTTTTCAAGGTTTGATATTGGCCAAAATTAACTCTAATCCACAGTAATAAAACAATATCTTTATACAAAGCTGGAAAGGGGAAGAGTAAGGAAGGTTGGGGTAATTGGGTTTAATCTGCCAAGAGCAAGGCAAATACAAGTACACCATTGAACTGATGTGTCTAAAAGCAGCTAGAATCATTTCATGTGATCCAATCACATGATACTGTAAAAGGCTTCATCAGTCCCTTTACACTCTGTTCTGCAAAAACAAGGAGAAAAACATTCATTAGACTTGCTTGAAAATAAACCTATACATTTTCCACAAACGTATATACAATACTGTCAAATCTACCCGCAGGTTTGTGTAAAGTATATATATACTGCATGTGAATTGAAAGACAGTTTTAGAAACATGTAACTGCATTTTATAGCTACAGCAGCGAGGCTGTGATTGTATTAATTAAACAAGTGTAAACTATTATAGTACTCACTTTCTCACCTCTGTTGGGATGTAAATGAAGAGGACGGGGTCTGGGCAGTGGCAGGAGGACCTGAGGGGACTCCTGCTGACATAGACAGACACACACAGAAGCACGTGGTTGGTGGAATATATGTGAACTCTGACCCCACTTTGCACAAACTTTCATTGCAAAAAAAATTACACAATTGCAGCAATGCCAAATTATCAGCGTTAATGTATTTCGGATCAATTCTGAGCGATTCCAGTTGAATCTGGATGACGCCACCGAATTGCACTCTCTTTTCAAATGCATGTTAGGTTTATCCATTGATCATCAATTATGGCCCACTAGTCTCAGTTAAAAATCAATCATGGTCATTTGGGCTAGATTTCGAATATACTGTTTTTAGAATTGCAATGATATTTATTTGATGCTCAGTGTAATTCTTTCTTTGTAGAAGCCTCAATAATTTAAAAGGGTTAATGCATGCTCCTTGTTATTTTGGTACAATGAGCCGCCTTTGTTTTACAGAATGCATGTCCCAGCTCATGTTAATATGGATCGTTTGAACTTCACTCTCAAGCTGGTCATTCGATAAGAGTATTAAGGACACCCAACTTGAATTTTGGAATATAAATGTGTATAAAAACTACTACATAAATGGAAATATGAGGATATTAAAGACTCATTATTGCATAAGGGGATTTGATATTACAAAAATACAATCTTGCAATGATCTTTTTAATGTAAATTACATTGTCAAAGTTTTACGAACTTTGATGAATGTAATGTCTCGCAGGGCAGTGACATGGCCGAGCGATCGCGCGGTTTTTCGCTCATTGCAGACGTTTGTGTTTTCAGCCCCATGACTGTCCTTTGCAAATACTTCAGGTACTTGATTCATAAATACGTGCCATCTGCTTTACAGTGGACGTTAATGTTATTCAACAAAGGGTAGGCCATGTGTGCCAGCATCACAGCCCAAAATTTTATAAAGTCACCTGCAAATTACTGAATTGGGAAACATATAGCAACATCACCCTCCTACTGCAAAACTTCTGCTATCTTTCATGATTAGCCTTATGATATAAGAATGGAGCAAAACACTAATTGTTCCCAAATATTTATTTTGATAGGTCTGCAAAACATTGCGCCTTCGTGATTAGCCGTGGGCGCGATAAGAATGGTACTTCGGCCAAATGTACAAATTATTTTATTTTATTAAGACGATTGTGTGGCCGGGAACTCGGACGGGAGGGAGCGAGGTACAGGTTACATTGGACAGTGGCCTCACCTGGGTAGTGCTCGTACTGCGTAGAGAGACCGGGGTAGCCCACCCCCGTGTGGGGAGAGTGATGGGAGTGCCTCTGTGGAGGAGGCGTCAGGCGCTTTTTACCCTTCTCTCCGCCACCCTCTTTGTCCTTCTCCAAGGTCGACTTATCACTCATCTAATGCAAGGAACGGATTATCAGGATTACGGATTTGTCTTTACCTTTCTCAAAGCCATCACTGAGTAACACTACATTAATTAAATAGTGCTCCTTTCTATCCATGCACTTTGACACCTGACGAATAATAATATTCAACACTCATAAAATATAAATCAACTTCAGCAGCCATAATTTGGCCCTAGCGCAGCCGGTCAAAACAATGATTGCCACACTCTCTGAAAATTTACATATTGTGGACAGTGCTATATCATTAAGCTGACTGCAAAAGGTTGAGCCACTACACTGCTGATGCAGTCCATGCGATACACATTCTTAAACAGTGACAATCTAGACGACACCAGCAGCAAATGTTCTATCAACTCAAAATAAACTCTACTCCCCTCAGGAGCTTGCAAATAAGTGTAATGAATAAATGTCTGGACACTTTAATCCACATTTACATTTAACCACAAGTTAAATTATTTACGTTTGGTGACTGCCTGGAAAGCTGCTGATCAGAAGTCTTGCCCTCCATGGACTTTCCTCCCGTCTGCCTCTCACATTCGCCTTCCTCTTGGCCAGACATCTTCCCATAGCCAGTGTAGTACAGGCTTGGAGAAAGGTAGCCTCCTGGGAGCAGCAAAAAAAAAAAAGTTAATTATTTTTTAGCAGAGTTCTCACAATCAATCATACCCTTCCAACCTCCAAAAATATATTTAGCTGTACGATGCGGTTTCGGGTTGTAACGCGTGCTGTTCGGCACAATGTTCGACGTTTTGCTCCACGTGTTGGCAGCTTCTTTGGGAACACCGTGCCAAACAACATGCGGTTCAACCCGTAAATACAGAGAGCCGTATAGCACAAGTGTGAAAATCTACGCAGTAAACTCTTCCCCCGCACCTCTGATAAGCACGGTTGGCAATGTACGGTGTGAAAAAAGTTAAAGATACATGCATAAATATATTTGAGTAACTAGAGAATGATGGTACAAGTACAGCATTCAAGCATTCATATGTCACTACTGTACACAATAGGTTGAATTAATTACATTCCAAACTGATGCAAATTTTTTAACAATGTTTGCACTTCTATATCTTACTCTTTGGTTCATTCGGTAAAGTCACGTAGAAAGAAAATAAATTAAATAATAGAATACACCGTTTCGATTGCAACACAAGCAGTCGTCATCAGGTAGAAAACAAACCTAGTGAACTTCTAAATTTGAGAGGGAGAACAAAACACAGACACGGAGACATACAGACAGACACACAAGCAGAGAGAGACAACACAAAGACACAAATTTAGACGTTCACTCGGTTTGTTTTCTACCTGATGACGACTGCTTGTGTTGCAATCGAAACGTCGTATTGTATTATTTAATTTATTTTCTTTCTACGTGACTATACCCAAAGAACCAAAGAGTAATTCCTGCAGTCACGAAAGCTTCAAATCCAACTTCTATATCTTCTTGATACTTACAAACTGACATGCATTTTTAATTATTCAGTATTGACCAACCGTCTTAAGTAAAAACAATTTGACGAGCAATGCATACCTGCATAGAAATGCATCATCATGGGGGGCACGCCACGGTACGCGGGATGGTTGGGGTCGTACATCTGCGCGTAAGGATTCTGCGACATGTACTGAAGGAAGGAGCCTGAAGCGTTCACTCCTGGCTGAGATTCCTTTGAAGCCGAGCTCGACTTCCCATCGTCTTTGTCCTCCCCAGTGTCGGTCACGTTTGAGCCCGACAGGGGCCTCTTGCCATCCCTGGAGTCCCCTTTGCTTTCACTCCTCTCGCCCTCTTTGTTCGCCTCCTTGTGCTTCTTCTCCATCTTCTTCCAGCGTTCCTCTTCGGCTCGGTGCTGCTCCAGGTACTGTGCGTAATACAGCTGCTGCCACTGGTTTACGTCGAATTCCTGAAAGAGCGAACAAGGGCGGCTCTTTGTTATTTACACTCGGCTGCCTTATCGGGCAACGGATTCCTGGTGCTGCCGAGTGTAAAGAACTGGTCCCCCCAACCTTGCAGTAACGAGTAAAGTTAAACCAAATACAGTGCACCATAAAAAAAAATGTATAACCTTTACAATCAAAACAAACATTGTCTGCTACACTTGTAAAAGCTATCCCATGTTGGTTTGCTATTCATAGAAAATATATTATTTCATACATTCAAAAAGAAATCTCGGTATGACTGTACCTGTTTATAGAGTCCACTTTGATCCATTCCAGAGTGGTCAGCACATTCGGTTGTTGGCTTTAGTTCCTCTGTAATGGGGATGTGGTTTTGGGTTTGCCTTGCTGCAAGACCTTCCTCTTGTTGAGTAGACATCACTGGCAGCTCTTCAGAAAACACAGAGCCTCCTTTCAGGACTTCGGAACCTGTGCCTTTGGCAGTGTCAAAGTTTAAGGCAGACTTTGGGGCACTAGCAGTAGCTGATGGGACAGACTTTCTCTTTCCCTCCCCAGATTTTGACAAGTCTTTGCTCCGATGCTTACTCTTTTTCTCGTTGTGTTTGATTGCCGTCGGCGGGTCAGAGTTCGGGCTGCTGTTGAACGGCTGGCTACGATACCTGGGGTCATAGTAACCATAACCATACGCGTACTGCTGGTAGTAAAGTGACCGAGGAGAAAGTGGGGCACCCTGCTGGATGACGGACTGATGCTGCGAAGTGAGGTCAGCTTTGTCACCGTCCACCATTTGTCCATTGCCACTTCCACAACCTGAGCCATCGTCCTCCTTTTTAATTTGTCCAATTTGGGTCAGCATGCTGTCATTGGGAGCATTCACGTTCGACTGTAGCTTCGACGACGGCGAGTAGTAAGCATTGTAGTCGGAGTAAAACGACGTCTGATCATCACTCTGTATTGCACGAGTGTCCAGAGTTGTAAGCTCTGCATCGTTGAAGCCAAGCACTTTGGTTGGTGGTACCTTTTTGACATGCTCACCCTCCCTGTCTTCACCATCATCCGATATGTCCGAGTAAGCTGGGCTGTTGGTGTTTGAGGCCATGAGTCCCTCCAGACCATTCTGAATAACAGCATGCAGTGGAGTCAGCCGCCCATTTGATAAGCTGGTACGGGCACTCTCCACACGGCAGGCACTGCCAATGGATGGGCTCGGAGCATTGTCTGTGAAATTGTACACCTTGGCAGCCTCTGCTTTGATACTTGCTATTCGTTTCTCTGGTACCTCTGCAGATCCATTAAACATCCCTTCTGTCTTAACAACGTAATCCTTTGTTAATGGATCTGAAAACTCTTTCCCATCTTTGCCATCATCTGATCTCCCGATTACTTTCAAACTCAACTTCAGGCTAACCGTCTCCTTACAGTCTCTGTCTTTGGATTTCTTTTTATCCTTTTTCTTTTTCTCTTTCGTTGGAGTAATGTTTGGTGACGTAGCGACAATTTCCGGTATAGAAGCTGGTTTTGGCTGAATAGGTTTAAGCGGTGGGCTTTTTGGCATTGTCTTAATAACAGTTGGTATCACGGTAGCGGCATGAATTCCAATTGACGCTGCATTTCCCGCAGAGGGGGAATTGGAATAGTTTGCCCCCGGCATAGCTACCAACTGGGGTGGCGGAGGTGCGGGGGCAATTGGCCTGGCTGCCTTGGGTTTTGGGGATGTTTTATTCTCAATTTTGATGCTGGTCACTCTTTTTGATTTTTCTGTACTTTCCTCCTTGGGAGACTTACCACCAAAAGGTCCTTCTACTTCCAATTTTGGCATTTCACTCAGTGGGCTGCCACTAGCATTGTCCTCGCTCGGGTTTACATCTCCATTCACATTGGTCCCATTTTCTCGGATGCCTCTTTTGCTTAGGCCTTTTCCCTTGGAATGGGATGTATGCAGAGTCTCAGGAGAAGATGTGTCAAGAGGACTAACTGGCAGAGAACTAGATTTTTCTTTTAAGAGGTCCAAACACTGGCTACCATTTGATAAGGAGGCAGAACTGCCATTCAAATCACAACCTTTTAGTTTCACAGGGCTGCTGCTGTGCTCCGACTCGGTGCTTTTGTCCTCATTGTCATTTCCATCCTCCTGCTTGTTTTCATTCTTTAAGTGAGCGTGAGCTTGGTGATATTTCAAGCCATTGATGTGCCTGTATTTCTTGTTGCAGTTCGGATGAGGACAGTCGATAAGGGCAGGCGATGAAACTGACGAAGATGGAGTTTTGTAGCTTTGTGACTCCAAAGGGGTCAGCTCCAGCCTGGCCTGCGAGTTTATTACACTTGGTGTCATTAGATTGTTATTAGTAGTCCTTGGGCTTGGCCTTAACCTTTTGCCTGGCCTGCCCTCCTCCAACCCATGCTGGGGTGAAGGAAGGTCGGAGGCAGGCCGTCCTTTCCTCTTCCCGTTGGGACTCGCCTTCACATCGTCCCCGGTGTTGACGTGTGACGAGTTCCACTGTCCGTTGGCGGTGAGGCTTCCGCGGCGACCCTTGCCACCGTTAGCGCCGCCTGTTCCCCTGCCCTTGCCGTGTGGGGCTCGGGGCTCGCCGGGGTTGTTGATCTCGTTTTGGGAGGCGTTCGAGCCTGCGCGAGCTCTCTTACCCCGGCCGCGTCCCCCCCGTGCCTCCAGGTCACTTGTAGGAGAGTCACAAAATCTAAAGCGGGGGACGCAACAAGGAAATGATTAAAATTGCACACGCCGTCGCGAGCCTAAATTGACGATAAACATTAGCATGTGTATTAAACGTGCCATTTTCAATCATTTTCTGGTCAAAATGCCTGGCGTAAATTCACAACGCTGATGGGTTGGAAATTTAAAAAGCATGTGCTTTTCAGTACAAGTTCATCACCCATTACGATGTGTTTGGAAATATAAATGTTTTAGCATGTTGGATGTACTTTGTACAAGTCAATAATACCTTGGGGGTGCCCATTCATGTTTTGTGCAGTCCAGCAAAGTCCCAACATAAGACTTGTTACGCCATGTCACGTTAACAACCAGCATACCTGTTGAACCAAAAAAAAACATTTAAGTATTGTATCAGTATCGTTAAGTCATAACTCCATACTACAAAAAGAGAAGATAAATCTAATTACAAAATAAATTATCCTTAACAGTACAATTTACAACCACTGTATGGCATTATACAACAAAATACAGTAATGTAATCAGATTACAATGTTCAACGTGGAACATTATTGGCTTAAAATCACAAAATCAACGTTTGTATCCCAACCTCGAGATTTATATCAATGTTTTGTGTGTCTGCAGGTATATTTAAGGTCATTATAATTTCGACATGTTACACACACTGTAGTTGTAACAGCCAGCTGCCAAGTGACAGCACTTGTCTACTCCTGCCTAATTTACATTCTACCGCATCATCACTGGAGCTAAAAATTTCAATATCCAGTGTCAAACCTCTTATGAAAAATGCTTAGGGCTGCTTTCAAAATTCAAATAGCTTGCATTTTTTTTTGTTCAAACGAGTGCAGCACATATCTAGCTGAGCAATTAAGCAGTATATTTTAAATGTCTTGAAAATCAGAAAAATGAATACCTTGGTTAAAATTCAGACTTTCTTTTTTAAACAGAAAGCTTTCTTCCCCATGCTAGAAACTCGGTACAAAATATCGTATTCACATTTACAACTTTGCTTCTTATTTCGTAACAAAAAAAACTGTGATTCCCTGCCCAAATGAGCACCGTTTACAGCCCTCACCCAGTGGTGGAAATTCCACATTCATATGGTGGGGGATAAGTCCTCCCATACATAAGACAACCACTGTTGACTACCCCACCAAGTGGAACTCATTTTATTGACCCTGAAGGGATGATGGCCTGAGTCAATGCAAGGCACGATCACAAAGTTTAGAAATGGTTAACACTCATCATGCTATATTTAAACCCAGAATACCAAACTATCATCAGCAAATCTATGACATGATAAGGTTGAGTAAATTAAGTGCTTCAAAGTAAGTGTGATTTCACTTGGTGAAAAACGTTTGGTTATATTCGGAAATGCTTTGATAATCAACAAACATTTATTCTTTTTTGAAAATTGGAAACAATTCTTGAAACATACGTACTGCATTAAAATCTCAAAAGGTTACATAAAGCCACTGCTAGCATCTAATAACCTCAATGTTTTTTTTAGACCAGGAATGCCACAGAAGTTTAATTCCATTAGCTGTGTTTGCAGTTCATTTTTGAATTAATAAAGTCATACATCCTGCATGAAATACCTGAATTACAGCAGAAAACGGAAACATTGACACTTAGACTTCTAACTTGTAACACCTGTAAAATGTGTAACCTAGAGATTGATTAGAAGAGCAGAGTCGCTGCTGAGAAGCAGAATCAAAAGCAGCCCGGCCATTCTCAGAACGTGTTTTGACACATTTTCACAAAAGTCAGTATTTTATGGTCAATTGGATACACTCATTACAGTGTTACATAAAACGACTTCGATTTACTCACAAATGTGTTTTTTTACGTAAAAAAACACCGTATTTAAAGGAATAATTTGGTAACATAGCAACTAAAAAACACCCAAGTGATATTAAATAACGAAAAAGGTCTATGTTTTTATTTTGTAATTTCTTCCTGCTGAAAGAATCAATCAATAGCCAACGGCGGAACAATGTCACAGTGAAATGCAAAAAGAGAGGCTTTTGTTACTGCAAGCTAACCCTATTAGTTTCAGAAGCTTGGTTCTTATGAAACCCAACTGGGAGTGCGCTTAAGATGCCGTGCCATGCGAGAGGGGAAATGTGCATTGTCAGCAGTCTTAGCAGATCTTGAATAGTGACCTTTTAAACAACTGAGGCCAAACAGTCTGGCACAAAGATTGCTTGCCCTGCTTTTTTCAATTAATGTCAAGCAGTTTTGGATACGAAAAAAAACCCTCTGCATCTTGTTTCACTTGAGTTTCCATCATGTTAAACAACTGTTGAAAAATACAAATGGATGTAGAATTTTTTTGTTTTACTTCATTGGGCCCTTACAAAAGCAAAGAGTATTGTTTTAACCAATCGCTTGCTTATTAGAACACTTAGGCACACTGGACAACATTTGAGAATGTTTAGGCTTAACGCAAATTAAGGTAGCAGAGGGGCACATTAATGGATAGGAAACAACTTTGCCATCGCAGTGACCCAGCCTGGAATCCAGTCCCTACGTCCGGTGAGGGCCTTGCTTTGGTCAGTTAAGCCTAAAACAACACTCATTACAATTGTAGACCTAGAGGACTAGCAATTACCTCACACTGCATTAAAATAATTGTAATAAAGCAAATAAGCAAACCAAACAAGTGGTTTTACTATCACTTGTTATGCGATGTTTTTTCTATTCGTGACAGATAGTGCGGTGCTATAAAAGCCAAATCATACACCGCAGATATGTATTTTGAGCCTTTGAAATAAATTGATATCAACAATCAGTGTCAATGTTCTACTGAGAAGCGTATAAGAGTGCAGCTGCCATGTACCAATAAAACCGTCTGGCTGAAGGAGATAGACAAACGACAGATGTTATTATGGCCTTAGCTTTATGAATCCTCCACATTTAATGGAGCAATACAAATAAAAATGCCCGCAGTAGGAAATAAATGAATACTGTGCAGTACATACATCCAGTAAACAAAGTCCAAATGCTGCCGAAATATATTCAAAATGTACACGAAAATAAAATGTAAATCTATGCTCTGAAAAATGCTGAATTTTACATACAATTCAAAACACGAATTAAATAAGGCTACAGTTTTACTGTAGCTGCTCGTGTCTTGTAGTCATTTGCAGATTAATGCAATATTTTTTACGCGTAGGGTAACTAAGAAGTGGTTTAAGTTCACGCTCATTTATTTCTGAAATGACTGGACTTTTTAAGAACCGAAAAAACCAAAAGCTTCTCGGGATTTCCACACGTTTCACAACCGCAGTATAAACGATTCTCACATTCGAAAACACCGTATTCAAAATACGACGCAAAACTGGAGTAACCAAGATCTAGTCGCATGCTTGCTTGAACAAATGCTTGACTTTGCGGTTTTGACTTTAAGCCTTAAGGAAGACATACTGACTCACCGACCACATTCAAAACATACAAAATAATTACAGCTACAAAACATTTATTCGGCAATTTGTTGTTTTGGGTTTGCTACGAGGGACACCGAAAATATGCTTCACCAGTGAAAACTGAGTAATCTGGCATTGTGAAGAAGACACAGACACGAGGATTAGACTGCCTTGTTGCGTTAAGTGCATCCCAACAGATACACTGGCATGACGGTGCCTGCTTAAAGCACCAGGAGGGATTGCAGAGGATTACGCTAAGAGGCCGACCATTGGCCCATCATAAAGTCTTGCAACCTATGTGAATTTTAAATAGGGTACGCCTTGTTAATACTGACAAAAAAATGCACACAATGACTTATTTAAAAGACAGATACTATCTTTAACACTTCACACCACCACAAGCCCGCATTTCTATCTGCATATGAACCTTATGGCAGTACCCCAGGGTACCATAGTACCCCGGCTCTCGCATAATGTCCGTGATGCAGTCATTTTTAGTCTGCTGATGGTCGGCGATGCGGCAATCGACTCATCTCGACGAGCTGTACACGATGAGGCACCACTACGGTGCATACGAGCGTTCAGGGTTTCAGCGCAATCGTCCTCGCTGCGTTTCGACATCGCGGAGTAGCACTGATTTCGGATTGATTGGTACCCCAGTCGCAGAGTTAAGTACACCCCTGGAAAAAATAGTGTCCCAGAAATAAAATATTTAATTGCCTCGGCTATTTTGTATTATTTGGTACCCCAGGGTACCGCCATAAGGATCATATACCGCGTCAATGATATATTAAAGTAGTATTATTTTAGGCGTATCATCACTCATATCTGTTAATGAGCTCAAATTGTAACAATAAATAGCTCCAGGAGACACTGTTCACTTGGGGCAGTTTAAAACAATCATATGCAAATCAGTTGCTAGGATTTTAAATTGGAGATGGATGAACGTATAATAAAAATGGCTCTAAACAGCTTTAATAATGAAAAAAACCGCATGCATGTTCAAATATACGGTGTTATACAGGAGAATGGTTGTAACTGAATCAAAGCAAAGGGTAAATAAACAAGACGTAGTCTATCTTGCCCTACTGCCAGGTTCCTAACCCCTTACCAATTACCCTAACGCATTTTTTCTTTCCCTTTTAAAACCCTCAAGGCAGTTAACATCATGTAAAGTACCGTGATACATTCCGTCTACTTTTCTGTGCAATCAATGTAAACACACTTGATGTTTTCCAGTGTAATGTTATGGTAAGATCCGAATAAAAAAATGTTCACAACACAGCACTGAGAAAATTAATAAAAATGGGCACATTCTCAAGTTTGCAAAGCTTTGGAAAATATGCCTGTTCATTATTAATACAATTTGGACTTGCGCCTTCCATTCCACAAGAATTACGGCCTAACCATCTCCCGCATTCACATTAGCACGACACATATGCTCTGCATGCTTTATGTAGCAGAACTTGGCACCGCTGAAACATGCTGCTTCTTGAACCTCCTCAGGGACCTAAATGCCAGGCCAAGTAACTCATTCCACACACAGAGAATCCTCAATGCAAAAATATGAAAATTCAGTGGTATCCATCAATTTTACACACTGCATTCAATACCCCAACTGGATAGCAATATAAATTGTAGACGTATTGACACAATCGTGTGAGACTGAGGAATTATATGGCACTTTCGTACAACAATCCCGCACGCCTTTGAGAATTGCAGCAGGGTACCTCCGGTGCCATTATACAAATCAAATTTGACTGAGTGCACATTCATGGCTGCGTTTCCATGTCTCGCAATCGTTTGCAAGCAGAATAACTGTAACTGCACGAATAATATTTACGGGACTTCAGACATTCGCCCCTGTCCATTCAGTAAAATCCTGTGAAAATTTCTGCTACTCAAAAATAATGTAATGAGAATTTGCATTTACAGGTGGTAAAACTAAGTAATGTAACATGCAGTATAAGCTGCTGTGTGCTTTGTGGGAAATATTAGCGTTTGTTAGTTTTTGATTTTGAAAATTAACTCTCGTGTTAATTATACATACAAAATAATTATGTTAAAAACGTGGAATACCCATAATCAATAGAGGTGTTTCTACTCATAATAAAGGTTTTTGGGTTAGATCGCGTTATTTATAAATGTGTCGTAACCCTCCACCACCCGACACGGCCAATCAGCAAAAAAAGTTTTACGTTGACAAAGGACAAATAGTTCAGTACTTTAGCCCACCGGTGTGTTGAAGAGTGAATCCACAACATTTACAATTTTTGAGTACGACGTTTCGCTGGTAATTACATCCAGTATCATGGGGCAATTCGCCAAAAAACGTTTATTATGAGTAATATTGGTCGCGAAAGCCTACGTGTTAAACTGAAAGGTGTTTCTGTGATGTATGTGACCATGCCGTTCATAACTATGCCATTTTCAAGTCTCTTCTATACTTCAGTGTCCATTAATATAATAGTAAAAAAAATAACTGGCTCCTGTCATTGTTTTCTGTATCAAAGCGGCACTTATGGAAGTAAACAATAGTATTGATGCACGTTTTGTGTCCTTACCTTAATTAAAGGGCCACACGTATTTTTTTAGTATTATTGTATACAGTCTATTGCATGTTGGATTTAAATACAACTACTTATTCATTGGCAAGATAAAAATGAGAATGAAAAAAACACTACAATATATTACTTTATGTTGCTATTTGAAAGCTAAATTTCGGAAATTACCGAGTAGAATGTATTGCACTTTTGAAGGCTTATTGTAACACAACAAATGCTGTGTTGCATAATCTGGACAAAGCATGCTATCAAAATCCTATTGTCTCCCATTAGTGCAATTACTATTGTATACATATATCTGAAAATTATATTTAGTGCATAAGCTTATAATACTGCAGATAATGAAGAGTTGTTCTTAATAAATGTAGCAGCACTCCAGGATTCTCCATCGGTTCATACGTTCTCATAACAGTTGTATCAGTACTAGCTAAACTAGGGAACAATTACATGGTTGTCGACACATGGTTCTAGCTACGTACAGGAAAACTGTCAGGCAGTTAAAAATCGTTAATATAGGCTCAACAATGCAAACACCAGGAGTCAAAGACATCAACAATAAATATCTTGGCAAGGTGAAAGTCGTTGAACAGTTGCCATGTGGAATAACTGTGTCTACTAGGGAGGCAGCAATATTATGACAAATTAAATTGACCCACGTGGCCTAATAGCCAGAGCCTTTTTAACCATTTAAAAACTTGACTTTTTTTGTCCCTTACAATAAAGCAATGTTTTTTTGGTTTGTGATTTTACATACAGTGCCATTTTGACATCTTGATTGAGTAGTCGTCATTAGAGCGATTTGCTCTAATGACGGCGATGGGGATATTGACAAAAGGTGCCAAATCACGCACCTCCGATTAACACGGTTGGCTACATACGGTGCGAAAGAAGTTCAACATACAAACAAAATGTATTGTGTTCGTAAATCCTGTATAGTAGTATGTTATCGTAAAAGTAAATAGAGCTATAGACAGCCCATCTAGAGGGTATCCGAGGGGATACTCTTCCACACTGGCCTTGGGACGACAAGTGGAGGTACCGACACTTTACTCCACCACATGCAACCTGCCAATCTTCTTCTTTCGTGCGGCTGATGGAGATGCAAAGCAACAACTACAATTTCACATTCAGGCGGTCAAGCCAAATAACCGCATCAGGAGCAGCCTAGTGTGTCGGCCGTCAAGTCTCCTTCGTATATTTGTGGATCGGGCATTGCGTCGTTATATGTTGTATGGTCTGTTTTGGATGACCAGTCACACACTGGAGAGTTTTAATGTTCTATTTGTGCATCCGGTATTCGCATCTGCCATGGTTTGTGCAGTGGGTGTTATTTAGGGTGGACCTAACGAACGATGGTGCACCCATTTATATTGCTGGGTGGAGAGAGGTGGGGAGGATTTAAAAAACTTGCCCATTGTATCAACCGCCATGTATGTATGTTGAACTTCTTTCGCACTGTACGTAGCCAACCGTGTTAATCGGAGGTGCAAATGTCTGGAGATGGGAACGGGTGACCTCTGGATTGCAAGTCCAGTGTGCTAACCATTACACCACAACAGCATTCCCATATCTTATAGTACTGTATATAAAAAAAACATAAAAGTACATAGTTTAAACCTGTATGCTCCGCACGATGAAAGCAATAAATATGACTGTGCAAATGCATTTGCTTTGTATAGATCATTTTTTACGATATGGTGAATCATTTTTTTAGTGTACATAATTATAAAAATATAAATGTTATGCTGTCAAGTATAATTCTATTGCTGGAGACAGTCAAGCAGCATTAACGGCAGAATTCCTAAACCAAGTACCCAAAAACAACAGGGAAAGACTGGGATTTTGAGCAGATCTTCCAACAAACATATGACAAGAGAAGCAGCCAACTTCTAGGAGTGAAGCCCAACAGTGACCAAGCAGTGAAAATATATGTCCAAGACAAACAATGGCTAACAGTCTCCAGTGATGCACTGTCAAGCCAAAGGCTGTGGGGGGAAGGCTTTGCCTTTTGTGCAGAAGAATGAAAACCAATATTGATGAGTATTATACTACCAAAGCACCCAAAGAACAATGGGCTTAGTTAAAGTTGTATTCGCGTCTCGAGAATACATTCTCAGGCACACAACGATATATGATGTATGGTCATAGAAGGGTACAAAAAACCCATTGTGTGCTGAAGAGCGCAATTAAATATTAAATGTAATTGTTGTCAAAAGGCTCTTGGCAAAACTGCAGTGAAGTATCAAAAATATACAGGTAATGACTTTCAGCCCTTTAGTCAAACTACTGCGAGATGGTGGCCTCTCTAAACCCTGGGCGGTGTTTGGCCATGCTTCAACATGCTGGTCAGTATGTGTCGGCGAAGATGAGATTTGAAGACCAGGACCTATTCATATATCATTTGCCACTAATGTTAGCAGTAGTCAGGAATAAAACTAAGGTCGCCGGGATTATAGTGCAGTGCGCTAACCACAGCACCACCATTCTACATTGCAATGTTTTGTTGAAATCACTGCTGATGGAATGGCCTCTATTGGAGGGGAGCTCTAGAAAACCCCTACAGAGGGCATTTGGCCTACTCTTTCATGCTGGCCAGATGCCCTGGAATAGTTAGGAGCACTCACACTTTACCCCACCAGGCATTACCTGCCGATCGACTAAATGCGGTGTACACATTGATATTGCTGGGTAGACAGAGGCGAGGGGGTGGGGTTTAATAAACTTGTCCTGTCCATCAACTGAAGCGCCCGGGATCGAGCTCAAACTGGCAACCTCTTGAAGTCCATTGTGCTCACCAATACATCGCCGGCAGCATCAAGTGTTTTCAAGGCTATGCGGTAAATATGCTGCTAAATAATATAAATGGCATGACACCGCAATGCTGCGAGGTAGGTGCAACTAGTGGAGGGAGGGGGGGGGGGGGGTGAGGAAGAATAACATACTCTCAGTCTCATGCCAGACAATGCCCTCCAGGTTGATGCAGGTGCCCGGCTCGCAGGGTCCCAGGCAGTCGGGCTCCGTGACGCTGGCCGCCTCGCACGTGCTCACGCCCACGGTGCGCGTGCGGATGAGGATCTGCTCTTCCGGCTCGGCTTCCACCAGCGTGGAGGCGCACACCCCCCCAGCAGAGCATGCCATGGGGCATAGAGTGGTGCCACTGCCGCCTCCTCCCACTGCCCCGGACAAAGTCTGTTGCTGCTGCTGAGGCCGCATCAGCCGAGGGTCCTCTACCTCAAGAGAGTCCACAAGAGAGGGTGTGCAGGGCGGTGACGAGGGCAGCAGCATTGTGGGAGGTGGTGGGGGTGCTGGCATGACGAATTGTGAATCGGCCTGCAATCAAAACAAATAAAGGATCACAATGGGATTGTTGAACAAACAATTGCCATCAGCAAACTGATGTCATGCTTGATATGTCCATGCCTTAACCTAGACAAATGAGTACAATGTGCAATTTCAGGAGCAGGCACATAAAGAGACAAGTTTTTTTGGAGTTGAGCATTGTGAGAATTTTTCAAATTCACTCGAATGAGCTAAGCCTAACTAACATATCACAATGCACACATGCAAGGACACATTTTTGTTTAATTCAACAGACAAAACAATACAAATATGCGTATAAAGTATATGATTTTTGTGTTATCTTCTTAAACTGTGAAAGATAGTCAACCACTTAAATGTGCTTTTGCTCACAAGTCATTTTCAACAAAGCGAGTAAATCCCTATGTGCATATTAGGAAGTAAAAAAAACGGAACTTTCAAGATGCTGGTAGATTATATGATAAAGTAACAACTAATACATCGCATTTTAAATAGCACCCTGCCTCCCAAGTAGATAGTCTAATTTAGCATACCATTCACTGAGGAAATTTGTACAAAAAAATTGGAAAGTTAATATGATACAAGATGAAACTCAAAGACATACAAAACAGCATTTAACTAATCCAGGTCGCAGTTACTTTTATACAACGTTATAACGTATATTATTTGGTTATTTCGGTAAAGTCACCTTGATAGAAAAAATAAAAGTAAATAAAATAAACTACGACATTTAGATCACAACACAGGCGATCCTCCTGATGACGATCGCTCCTGATGATGATCCATCTGATGACAATCGCTTGTGTTGTGATCGAAACGTCGAAGTTAATTTTTGTTATTTTTTTTCTATCTACGTGATTTTACCGAAAGAACCAAAGAATATGAATTCCTGCAGTCACGAAAGTTAAGTAAAAATTAAACATTATAATGGTTGGGCAGACCGATAGGTAACTCAAACTAATTATTGTACTTTGAAAGTGATAAATTAAGCATATCTTTGTAGAGTATATATTAGAAGTCCGGTGCTATTTTAATATATATTTGCTTCATTAACACAGCAACACAGCTGAAAATACAAAAATGTGTTGGGTAAATACAATTTTTGAGATTGAAATCGATACTATGACCTGGGAAATTATTTAATGATTAACACACACCACGAAAAAAATAACATTTTTAAAGTCAAGATACTAAATTTGATCAAAATAGGCAGTCTAGCTGAATGTTAAAGAGTGCATTTTAACACTTAGGCTTGCTTTTGGTGATGTTATTGAACATCAGTGTAAAGGTAATATCCATTGAACAAGATCTACTCATCTTCTACTCAGTATTCACCTGGGCTATCAAGGCACTGACACAAAAGCAGGGGACGCGGGATAGAGGCGGCATTTACCAATTTTAATTTCCATTCATTAAAACCAACATCAGATTACAAATACCCCCCCCCCCCTCCCCCAAACGTGCATCCCAAAGGTTTACTATTCAAGCATGCCAAGTGGGGTGGGTGCTGGATTAAGGGAGTAGGCACCCAGAGACTTAGCATTTAAATAGTAGATGGCTGAACAGGCCTTATAGGGTACAAATTATAGAGTTCGCACTGGAAAATGCAGACAAGCTACCCGCGGCCCTTTCAGGGGCTCCAGGCATAAATAATCAACCATTACAGGGCACTTTTTTTTAAACACTCATATCTGTCCAGGACTATAATGCCATCTTCTCCAGAATGACGCAATTTCCCCCTCCCTGTATTTTCAAGCAAGCGTTTGGGATGTGACATATGATCTGTGGTAGGTATCTGCGTGTCGGATGTGTGTAACTTTGACACCAGCTTCAAGTTTTGGGGGTCCATCTCACTTTTCAGAGTGTCTTAATAATCCAGAGAATACGGCAATTTCATTTGTTGTTAAAAATTGAATTAAAAATAGGCTGTGAATGTAAAACCAAGGCAAATGTATTAATGATCATTTAGTTATTTATGATGCCTTAGCTGCCACCCACACTGCCAAGTGTGGTGTGCCCTCTGCTTTTTCCCATGTTAATTTACCTTTCATACAACATAGCTATGATCCTTGTTTCATGGAAACTTAAATTGAGAGCATGAGTTGAGTATTTCATCATGCATTAGACATCTACTAGGATATTTTACACTTTGTAAATTAAAAGTAAAAATATATACAATCATTTCTTTTGCTGCATTAACAGCTAGAAAAAGAGGACTATATTCGTGCCTTAGTTGAGGTTGCTTATCCATTACAAATACAGTACTGAATTCGAATCCAGTAGTTGGCACTAAAGTGTTAATTTCTAAGAAATTGAAGAGCACTTCAGGCATGTTTACTTAGCCCTGGGTTGTTCTACAAGCGAGATGTAGCCCAGTGCTGGCAGTGGAGCATGCCCAGGCCTAATGGCCTTTAGAACAAACACATGCCAGACCCAACTTTTAACAGGTCACTTGCTTCACAACGCTTGCTTGGATTTTCACAAAGAGCCCGGTATGCATGTTAAACAGGCCATTATATCCATAAAATCACCAAAGACCTGATTATCATTAATCAGAATGGTTGTTTTAACAGCTGATTAATCGATAACAAAACAGGAACGTTGAGCTTGAAACGTGCATGATCGCATACGTCCACACGCACAGTGCTTAAAGGCAGGCAGATCAAATATGGTCAAATATTCCCTTGACAGATGTGTTATAGAGCATTCTTCTGGATATTATTTTGAATTATCAGTACGTTATACATAATGTGTTCATCATCGGACATTGTCTACCCACTGCTAGATGAATCCCCATTCCTCACAGTCCAGTGCTGCTGCCACCCATCTCACTCTATTGAACTAATCTCACTGCGCTATCTCCACGGTGGTCGTCCTCTTGGATGAGTTTCCAGCCGTCACAAATCTCATTCATTGGCCATCGCATTGTCTTGCAACGTGTTCTATCAAAGGCCATTTACTTTTCTTTATACTGTAGTTGATACGATTTGTGCTTGTTCCCCCAATCCCTGCGTTTCTTTTTCTGTCTCTCAGGATCGATAAAAGGATGCAGCCACATTGGTTATGCTCCTTTTCCCTATAATTTTCAAATTCCAAAGGCACTCCGTCATACTCTTTATTTAATTCTACTCCTGTTTCATTACTCGTTTTTGATTGTCTGCTTAATATTAACATTGCATCCCTTCATTGTTTTTATTTCCTAAGAAAATGTGTTGTAGATTACTCTACTTTACTTTTGTTTTGCTTAATTATCTTGAGATCAACTTTGCAGCATTCTTTGTGAAGCACTTCAATATCCATATTTTTGTCCAATGTAAATTTAAGAAAATATATTCTAATGTTGCTGTAAATAACCTTGGTGAGAGCACACCTCCTTGCTCGATTCTTCGTTTTTAATTCACAGCTCTCATTGTGCATTCTCAATGTACACACGTCCGTTCTTTATACATGGTTCTGATGTTCATTTTTTTATGGATTGGTTTGTGAGGAACTTGGATGACTGCTTCCATATTCAATAAATAAAATGCCTTTTCATAATCGATAAAAGCCAAGCATAGTGGTATTTGATTAAAATGTTCTCTCATTTGATCGATACCCTGTATGTGGTCAACAGTAGAATATAATGTTAATTTAGTACTCAACTATTCCCAACAGAATCTGGCAGAAAACATACGCTGAGCAGAATATTTAGCAATAACGCACGACCAGCAATTTATAAAACTAATGAGTTAATTTTAGCCAAAGGAAGTAACATGTTTAGCGGCAGGAAAGATGATGACATGAAGTGCAAGTAGATTTTCCATTATTAAAAGATGCTGATGCCAGTGACTTTTTCATGCAGTAGTGAAACAGAACGGCTGATGACAATTACGATGTATACAATATTCTATGGAATATATGAAATGAATTTTTTTAATTAATGCATTACACAGCCCTTTGATTTTAAAATTAGCACACTATTTAAATAAAACACTGGAGCTGACTAAAGCACAGTACGAAAGTAAAAAAAACCCCAGCATGTTGACACATTTAAACAAAAACAAGGATTGAAAAATGAGCTCATATTGTGTAAAAGAACAGGCATGAAAACAAAGACATGCCAATACCCGCCATCTCAGACTCTGTGGAGACTGTCAGCCTGCTGCGGGACAGCTGCGGATTACACCAGTGACGCATGAATAAACCACCCCCAGTGAACAAAGAGGGCTTTGATATAATTTGTCACAGCTATTAACGGTGGCCTGGACTCGGTGCTGCGGACAAAGCTGGTAACGCACACTTTTCCAGCGATCATTGCGATTTATTGAACCATGGTGCGCGTCACTATAAATCAATGGGATTACCACAGTTTGTCCATAGTGCACTTATTTTCCATCACTGCTTATAATTTACAATTAATTTCATCTCGCTAAGAATGGCCTTATCCGGTGCTATTTTGCACCTGGGCTTTTGAATTAAATGTCATTATAACAGGGCAGAGTAATTGATCTGACTTCATACACCCGCACGATTGCTTCTGGGCACAAGCCATTACACTTTATAGCTTCTCTTCTCAAGCAAAGCCAGGTAATTGCTTCTCTGTGTAACCCTCTGCACTGTATGTATTGTGATCCCAGGTAATGAAAGCAAGAATTCACTTTTTACCCCATGAGACATCTATTTATTAGTGCCTAATAGAGCTAGAATCTATTAGAAGACAATAAATAACACTCCTATTGTATAGTAAAATACACTATTGTATTGAACAAATTATTATTGTACATGTTTATACATTTTCTCTTAGTTATTCGAAATAGCATACGCAGCTCAATCTACACGTTAAGCCCTTAAAAGGCAATGACTGTTCAACGACATGCAAGCTCACAGAGGATCTGCAACATTTTATATTGATCAATGTAAACTGCAAGTCATATTAACAGCTGTCATCACTGCCCAGGTGGCTCAGTTGCAGAGTAAGCGGCACGCAATTGGAAGGTTGCAAGTTAAAAACCTGGTTGGGGGTTGACTAAACC